CCAGTGAATCATCAATTATTGCTGGTGAAAAAATGTGCAAGGTGGTGAAGGTTTGCTTTTGCTTTCTTTCTCGCTCAGCTATTTTTTTCTTCCAAATTGATAAAGTTTGAGAATGATGTAGATCTGGTGTATGCTGATATTATAGAGTCAATGACCTTAAAGATACTCTGTATGCACACACACACATGCATGACTTTGGCCTGCTGTTTGAGTTTGTATTATGAGAATTATTGAGAATAAATAGCCTACATAATTTGGCAATTAGATATCGTGTAGGAATTCTGCTGTGTTTCATTCTGTACAGTTACAGTTTCTATTTTCTTATTTTTATTTCCATTTCAGGTGTTTGTGCTTCTTCATCAACTTCACATTTTCTCCCTAGGTAGAGCTTTACCTGACCAGCCTCCTACTTGTCTTCCAAGTGATATCCCTGAAAATTCCCGTGCAAGAACTGCTGGCCTGGATGCTTCAGGTCCAAAACTAGGCGCCGAGTTGAGACTAGGTCAGTTTTCCATCTGGTATTTGATATGGTTAATTGATGATGATAATAACAATGACGACAATGACGGTGATGGTATATAATATGATGATGGTGTGTACTTGTGTGCGTGTGTGAGCATGCGTGTGTTGTGTTGCTTGGAGCACTATTTGCCTTGATAACTGATGATTTCGCCTATATGACCTATTGCTTCCAACTTCTGAAGTATGGCTTTATTTGATTATAAATTTGTTGCGAGAGTCAGGTGATTAAAATATTTCTTGGTTAAATCTCCCTGGTCACTGCCATATGCAGTTGATGCCGTGCCTTGTAGGATTGCATTTGAGAGGGGTAAAGAACGCCATTTTTGCTTTTTAGCAATCTCTGTGGGCACATCTGGGTGGATCCTACTTGCAGAAGAATTGCCCTTGAAGAAGCATTATGGAATCATCCGTATTGTCGCTCCTCTGGCAGGTTCCAATGTATGTCTGGGTTTTTTTGTGCCTTCTCTTTCTTAATATGCATGTAGCTCATTTTTCAGTGAGCATGCACTGCTCGATAATATGACCAGAGATTTCTAATATTTTACTGTTCATGTCTTCTATTTTGGGCCTTGGCAGAATGATTCTAATCTTACACTTATCTTTATTTGTGTCATCAGCCTACAATTGATGAGAAGCATTCAAGATGGTTACACTTGCGGATCCGTCCATCTACTTTGCCTGTTTTGGATCCTGCTAGATCCATTACTCATGGGAAGGCTAAGACAAAAGCCCTGGTTGATGGGAGATGGACCTTGGCATTCAGGGATGATGAATCTTGCAAGTCTGCATTGTCTATGATTATTGAAGAGTTTGATCTGCAAAGCAGTGAAGTGAAGAGAAGACTAAAATCATTGCTCAACATTGAAGGAGGTATAGATGTTCCAGACACTTTACATCCTTCTGAGGCGTCCGCATCAACTCAAACACCTTCCAATTCATCGTAAGTTCCTACTTGATTTGAGTTCTCAGTAATAGTATGCTTTGGGTGGGAACTTATTACGCTGTCTCACCCTAACAAAAATGTTTATATGGAAACAGTAGATATGCCCAGCAACGTAGATTAACACCCCAATTAAGTCATTCTTTGTATACGAGCTTCCTTCGCCTTGATTTGATGAATTTAGTGGCCTTTTTCTAACATTCTTTAGCCTCTAACCCTAGGCTTCTCTATTTTTTTTTTTTTTTTTTCTGAATTTTGTATCGTGTAACATTAGTGTATATCTGAGGCAATTTTATACTAAAAGCTTTTGTTTATTGATATTCAGAGTGCATGTTACAGCTTTATTAAATTCCATAATGTTTGCTAACCTAAAGTTTCCTTCATTCTTGGATGTTAACCCTAACCCTCCTCTAAAATCAGCATAGATATTGATATGCTAATTTTACAAAAACTTTTCCTCGAATGACCTCACGAAGAATCTAATGAGTGGGTCCTACTGGTATATCCTACAAAATGGTGATTTTGGCAAGAACCTCAGTAAATTTAGCATTATGCTGAAAAGTTAGGATTTCAAGTGTTCCATTGAAGAAAATGATGAAGCTACACGGAGAATCCTTCGCACGATTGAGGTTGCTGCTACTGTCAGAAGTGCTCCAGATCAGTAAATGAGCCCCGGAGATGGTTTTCCACATAATTAGAAGGGTCTTGAGGGAAATAGACTTCTTTAGCATAAACATCATGTGTTCAAGGCATGCCAACAATGTAACTTTAAAAATTCATGCATTTGCGCTCCCCGTTGGCCCTTATTTATTTTGACTGTTCATTGTGTTATAAGCATTTCTGCCTTCGTTAGCAGATGCCATTTGTCCAGTTAAAGCTGTTTGGTATCTCGGATTCTTGAACATCTAGAATGTAGGATTCTCGGAAAGTGATGTCCCAGAAACACTGTTGTTAAACCTGGTTCCTTCTATTTAGTTGATAACTACTCGAGCCTGATCGTGGTTGGGTTTTAAATTGAATAAAAAAATGTTGACCAGATAAAAAGACAAAACTTAGTTGATTTAGTAATTTGATTGACTTACTTAATCTGGTGTAAACTTAATCATGTCAAGGAATTAAAAAAAAAAAAACTAATTATGTCAATACCAAGGAATTAAGAAAAAAAACTATGTTGATTTGATGTACAGTGATATAAATATTTTATCAGGCTAGTTCTCTCTTAGGGAGAGTTCTAATAACAATGCTAAAAAAAATATAACTCTAATTTCACTAGGGAAAGCAACTCCTAGCTTTTTAGGAATCTTATGTTATACCTTTTTTTTTCCATTAACAATTTAAAAAAAAAATAAAAAAGATGTTGGAAAGTATAATAAAAATTTATTTTTAAAGGTTTGAAAGCATCCTCTCTCCACAGCCTCGTCGGAGGGACGGGGCTTAAGCCATCTGGCACCGGAGGACAGTATGTTTTCCAGTCGTTCGCAGGTGGCGGTGAAAACTCCTAAATGGCCTCATAATTAATACATAACAGAAGAAATACTAGAGCACGAGCACAACTTCCTGTATCCATAGGCGTACTTTTTTTTATTATTATTATTATAATGGAGGTGGGCAAGCAATACAAAGGCATCACCAATCAAGCCTCATGAAGAACCGTAGTGGAGGATGTTAAGAATCGATAGCATGTTTAAAAGCAATAGCGAAGAGAAAACCATCCATCATTATCCTACAACAAACCCCATCTTTTCTTCTTTAATTAACATCATAGGACACTCGATAGCTTTTCTAAAGCTGTGCTTATCTGAATTAAGTTGTACAATGATTAAAAAAAAAAGAGTATATAGAGATGAAATAATTGTGTGTTCTACCACAGGAAGACAGTCCCCACTCCCGCCGTTTGATGCAATCATATCTTTGCTTATTATTATTAGTCCTTTAGGTCAAATAATGAGGCTACTTAGTTTATGAAAACTGAGTTTCTTAAGCAAATAGTGTAGTAATTGGCTTCTAGTGGGGAAGGAGGTTTGTTCTTGTCAGGCTCTAAAACCTGGTTCGATCTGGTTTAAGGGATTGGGTTGATTCTAGATCCGACTGATAGGATTTATACTAGTTTAAATTAAAAAAGTTAAAGATAGAAATCAATTCAATTAAAAATCCGTGTTAATTTGTGACTTAATCAACTAAGTAAAAAAAAATCAGTTAATTTTTTATCAAAACATCATTTTAATTATTATTTTTTAAAAAATTTTGAGTTAATTCTTTGACTAGTAGCCTATATCTGCCTTGAAATTAAGCATCAAATTGTGTTTTAAAACTATGTAGTTTTTATTTTTATTTTTTATGAGGCCAGCTTGTATAAATGAAATATTTGATAGAATGAAATTTAGTCAAAAGAGCAGATGAATGGGAAATAAAAATAATTAGGATAACATTTTTTAATTAAGAAACTTTCTTAAGAAACCTTTTCAAGTGAGTGAGTGAGTTCCACATCTTCTATGCTAAAAACCTTCCACTTTGTGCATAAAATCTTATACAATTCGGTGATATGTTTTTTAAGTTAATTGTATAGGTTCTTAAGGTGTCAATTTTCTCATCATTGCATAGGCAACATGGTCACTCCTTTCCCTTTCTTTTTCCTTCATTATCATCTCATTATTATGATTAATTAAGTTTGTGATGAGGAATGAATCATTGCGTGGTGTTTTATATGGAGCAATAATTGAAGGATGCTGAGAATACAATTCAAGTTGAACGGTTCGGTTGCATGATAGGCTTATCTTGAAGGAATTAATTAAGTGCTTAATTTGGCCCAGTGCATTCTCCTTGAAAAAAATAACTAGAGGGTAGGATTCAGGCTGGAATTGTGCCTTCACTAGCTAGGAGACTTGGAATGTCAAATTAACGATCTTGAAAGAAGCTTTAGGCAAGTGCAATGGTGACCTAAGCACTTGTTCAAAGATTTCTTATTGGAGGAATGCCGCTCTTTGC